CTGATCACATGCACTCTCCCCCCAAAAACAAAAAAAAATCTCTCTAGCAATAAACACTAAATTGAGCAAGTGCAACTTGCCCCCAAGGCTCTATTCAATTAGCAGATGGATTAGGGGCAGTAGACAAACGGGGAGGATCAGAGAAGACAGGATCAAACAGCCTTTTTACACAATGCAGAGGATTAACCGCTTAGGTTCCACAGCGAGTATAACAAACATGTTTTATTGCATATACAGACTGATTTTACTGTTATGGGTTTAGTAACACCTTAAGTTGCACAACATTTATGAATATATGTGGAAGCCGCACTGCCTCAGCATTTTTGTATACACATAAAAACATTATAAATACCATTTCCAAAATCCGCACTTTCCTAACCCCAGAAACCCCACTAAACAGCTCATCCACTCCCTCATCATATCACGACTCGACTACTGCAAATCCCTCCTCACTGGCCTGCCTCACCACAGGCTATCCCCGCTTCAGTCCATCCTGAATACGGCTGCCAGACTCATCCACCTCACCAACTGCTCCATCTCCGCCACCCCCCTCTGCCAATCCCTCCACTGGCTTCCGATTGCGCAACGGATCAAATTCAAAATCCTAACACTGACGTACAAAGCTGTCCACCATACTGCCCCGAACTACATCACTGACCTAATATCCAAGTACCACCCAACACGCACACTCCGCTCCTCACAAGACCTCCTTCTCTCTAGTTCCCTGGTCTCCTCCTCCCATGCCCGCCTCCAGGACTTCTCCAGGGCATCACCCATACTCTGGAGCTCCCTACCCCAATCCATCAGACTATCACCTACTCTCCTCTTATTTAGGCGCCCCCTGAAAACCCATCTCTTCAGGGAAGCCTACCCCACCCCCTGCTAATTTGCCGATCTCCTCCACTCTTCCAACCACTCCATCCCCCACAGCTATCTCCTCCTGTACCACCATCCCCTCCCTCCTAGATTGTAAGCTCGAAAGAGTAAGGCCCTCGAACCCCTTGTGTATCACATTGTATTGTTATTGTTCTGTCACATGTTCTGTCTCCTGGCGCTTTATAAATACTGTATAATAATAATAATAATAATTTCCCCACTTTTTTTTATAAATGATCGCATACCCTCTGTTCTTAGCTGCATAAGGAGCTCAGAGAGCTGGGGAAGGAAAAACAGCAGTACACTGATCTTCTCAGTGAATGGCTGCGCAGGAGATGCATGTCAGCAGAAGCCTGGTCATTGCAGGAGAGCAGGCTGAGTTCTCAGCATAGCAAAAAACACTGACCACGTTGTGTTCTTATGCCTAGTATGGTCAGTTTGTAAAAGGGAAGCTGAGGGACTATCAGGAATACCAGGGATATCACACAAAGGAAACAATACAAAGAGAACAGGACACTTTTTCATACAAGTACATGGTACAGCAGGCACATATCAGTAATAGGAAATGTAGGGTTGATATGTTCTTTAACCACCTCCCGCCCGCCATATAGTAATATGACAGACACAAGGTGGTTCTCTCGTCCTGGGAGGACGTCATATGACGTCCTCCCATTCTCACTGCGCATGCGCGGCTCAGAGAGCGCGCAGCTCGGTGATCGGCGGTGCGCTGTTTCCCTCGGACACAGTGGATCACCGATCCACGGAAAGAGACGAAGATGTCGACTCGGTCATGTGATCAGCTGTGTCCAATCACAGCTGATCACATGTAAACAGGGAAATGCCTGTTATCGGCATTTCTCTCCTCTCGGCTTTTCGCGTAGGGGACATGTACACTGATCATCAGAGCACTGATGATCACTGTGCCCTGATGATCAGTGTAGCCCCAGCAGCGCCACCTGTCAGTGTCCATCAGTGCCTTGTGTCAGTGCTCATCAGTCCCTCATGCCAGTGCCCATCAGTGCCACATCAATGCCACATATCAGTGCCTACCAGTGTACATCAATGCCACATATCAATGTCCATCTGAGCTGCCTTTCAGTGTCATCCATCAGTGCCAGTCAGTGCCACCTATCAATGCCAATCAGTGCCACCTATCAGTGCTGCCAATCAGTGCCACCTATCAGTGCCAGTCAGTGCCGCCTATCAGTGCGCATCAGTGCCACCTATCAGTGCCTGTCAGTGCCGCCTATCAGTGCCTGTCAATGCCGCCTAACAGTGCCAGTCAGTGCCTCCTATCAGTGCCAGTCAGTGCCGCCTATCAGTGCCATATATTAGTGCCATGTATCAGTGCTGCCTTTCAGTGCCCATCAGTGCCACCTACCAGTGCCTCATCAGTGCCCATCAGTGCTACCTATCAGTGTCCATCAGTGCAGCCTCATTAGCACTCATCAGTGAAGGCGAAAAATCACTTATTTACAAAATTTTATAACAAAAACTAAGAAAAAACTTTTTTTTTTCTAATTCTTCAGTGGTTTTTGGTTTGTTTAGGAAAAAATAAAAAACCCAGAGGTGATTAAATACACCAAAATAAAGCTCTACCTGTCACAAAAAAATGATAAAAATTTCATATGGGTACAGTGTTGCATGACCGCGCAATTTGCATTCAAAGTGCGACAGCGCTGAAAGCTGGAAATTGGCCTGGGCAGGAAGGGGGTATAAGTGCCCGGTAGGCTAGCGGTTAAAGGAACAGGGACACACCAGAAGCCCACAGCACAATGGTAGCTGAAGACATCCAATTATTATTATTATACAGTATTTATAAAGCGCCGATAGTTCGCTCAGCGCTGTACATTACAAAGGGGGACAGAACATGTGACAGAACAATACCAATACAATGCAAAACATGAGGGGATCGAGGGCCCTGCTCTTTGGAGCTTACAATCTAGGAGGGAGGGGATGGTGGCACAGGAGGAGATAGCTGTGGGGGATGGAGTGGTAGGAAGAGTGGAGGAGGTCGGCAAGTTAGCAGGGGGTGGGGTAGGCTTCCCTGAAGAGATGGGTTTTCAGGGTGCACCTAAAGGAGAGGAGAGTAGGTGATAATCTGATGGGTTGGGGCAGGGAGTTCCAGAGGATGGGTGACACCCTGGAGAAGTCCTGGAGGCGGGCATGGGAGGAGGAGACCAGGGAACTAGAGAGAAGGAGGTCTTGTGAGGAGCGGAGTGTGCGTGTTGGGCGGTACTTGGATATTAGGTCAGTGATGTAGTTCGGGGCAGTATGGTGGACGGCTTTCTACGTCAGCGTCAGCGCCCCTATATATCTCCCCACATCAATTCCAGCAAGCTAAATAAAAATGGCAACCACATCAATTATAACTAGATTTTAGAGTAAAGCTGTTATGTTTATTGTATCCCCATTGCAGATCAAGAAGACAGCACCACCCCCCAAAAATGGAAAAATCGTTAGAACATTTTGGGTTATTTTGTTTAACTCTTCTCGCTACATATGGATATTTGCAGCTAAATTTAGCAAAATAACTATACGGGATGCAGAGGAAAGCAAGGAGAGTTAGAAGAGTCTCTATTTATAGTTCAGAAGCCATGAATCCACCTGTCCTTTCTCTGTGTGCTGGCTGTACAGTTAGACAATGGCTTGTCCTATAAAGCAGACTTCATGTTGCCTCCAATAACACATTCTAGTATTATCCTTTACTAATTAATCAAGTGACACAAGGGCAAAGGACCATCAGGAAGGACGTCATCATCTGGAATGCCACAAAGTAGAATGGTCAGGTGAGCCCCTAACATTCATTCACCATGATACTTCACTCAATGTTGGCCAAGGAACAAAATCACTAGAATGTTAAATGTACAAATGAGAGTATTAAGTCTTTGAAAATCAGGATGTAATACTGACTTAAAGTGTTACTAAACCCCAAACCCTGCATTCACTATATCTTGTCTCCCCGGACCCTGCATTCACTATATCTTGTCTCCCTGGACCCTGCATTCACTATATCTGGTCTCCCCGGACCCTGCATTCACTATATCTGGTCTCCCCGGACCCTGCATTCACTATATCTGGTCTGCCGGACCCTGCATTCACTATATCCGCTCTCCCCAGACCCTGCATTCACTATATCTGGTCTCTCCCGGACCCTGCATTCACTATATCTTGTCTCCCTGGACCCTGCATTCACTATACCTGGTCTCCCAGGACCCTGCATTCAATATATCTGGTCTCCCCGGACCCTGCATTCACTCTATCTGGTCTCCCCGGACCCTGCAATCACTATATCCGGTCTCCGCGGACCCTGCATTCACTATATTTGGTCTCCCCGGACCCTGCATTCACTATATCTGGTCTCCCCGGGCCCTGCATTCACAATATCTGGTCTCCCAGGACCCTGCATTTACTATATCTGGTCTCCCCGGACCCTGCATTCACTATATCTGGTCTCCCTGGACCCTGCATTCACTATATTTGGTCTCTCCGGGCCCTGCATTCACTATATCTGGTCTCCCAGGACCCTGCATTTACTATATCTGGTCTCCCCGGACCCTGCATTCACTATATCCAGTCTCCCCAGACCCTGCATTCACTATATTTGGTCTCCCGGGACCCTGCATTCACTATATCTGGTCTCCCCGGACCCTGCATTCACTATATCTGGTCTCCCTGGACCCTGCATTCACTATATCTGGTCTCCCAGGACTCTGCATTCACTATATCCGGTCTCCCGGACCCTGCATTCACTATATCCGGTCTCCCCGGACTCTGCATTCACTATATGGACCCTGGTCTCCCCGGACCTGCATTCACTATATCCGGTCTCCCTGGACCCTGCATTCACTATATCCAGTCTCCCTGGACCCTGCATTCACTATATCCGCTCTCCCAGGACCCTGCATTCACTATATCTGGTCTCCCAGGACCCTGCATTCACTATATCTGGTCTCCCCGGACCCTGTGTTCACTATATCTGGTCTCCCACAGTACACAGAACATGGAAATGCAATTATTTTAGTAAATATAAACAGCTAAATACCTTTTCTCATGAGCAGTTAGAGGAGTATTGTGACTTCAGTACAGCACTGGTTAAAGCTTGTAGGAGGAGTTTTCTTTCTGCTCAAGGAGGATGTGAAACCTTGACCTCTGTATGGACAGTGCTGATTGGTCCTGTGCTGATCACATGCACCCTCCCAAAAAAAATAAACCTCTCTAGCAATACACACCGAACTGAGCATGTGACCACAGGTTCAGTCTGTATCAGGTGGTCATTTCAATTCTATTCACAAAAAGAACATTGGGAAATTGGAGAAAGTACAGAGAAGGGCAACCAAACTGATAAGCAGCTATGATCAACATGTATAATACATAAGGGGGGATATGATCTCCATGTATAATACATAAGGGGGGATATGATCTCCATGTATAATACATAAGGGGGTGATATGATCTCCATGTATAATACATAAGGGGGGATATGATCTCCATGATACATAAGGGGGGATATGATCTCCAATACATAGGGGGATATGATCTCATGTATAATACATAAGGGGGGATATGATCTCCATGTATAATACATAAGGGGGGATATGATCACCATGTATAATACATAAGGGGGGATATGATCTCCATGTATAATACATAAGGGGGGATATGATCACCATGTATAATACATAAGGGGGGATATGATCTCCATGTATAATACATAAGGGGGGATATGATCTCCATGTATAATACATAAGGGGGGATATGATCTCCATGTATAATACATAAGGGGGGATATGATCACCATGTATAATACATAAGGGGGGATATGATCTCCATGTATAATACATAAGGGGGGGGATATGATCTCCATGTATAATACATAAGGGGGGATATGATCTCCATGTATAATACATAAGGGGGGATATGATCACCATGTATAATACATAAGGAGGGATATGATCTCCATGTATAATACATAAGGGGGATATGATCTCCATGTATAATACATAAGGGGGGGATATGATCTCCATGTATAATACATAAGGGGGGATATGATCTCCATGTACATAAGGGGGATATATCTCCATGTATAATACATAAGGGGGGATATGATCTCCATGTATAATACATAGGGGGGGGATATGATCACCATGTATAATACATAAGGGGGATATGATCTCCATGTATAATACATAAGGGGGGATATGATCTCCATGTATAATACATAAGGGGGGATATGATCTCCATGTATAATACATAAGGGGGGATATGATCTCCATGTATAAAGACATCAGTGGTTCATATAGTGAACTCGGTGTAGAGTTATTCCCCTGAGGTCATCACAGAGGACAAGGGGCACTCTTTACATCTGGAGGAAAATAATTTAATCTCCAAACACGGAAAGGTTTCTTCACAGTGAGAGCTGTGAGAATGTGGAATAGACTCCCTCAAGAGTTGGTTCTGGCCAGCTCAGTGGATTGCTTTAAAAAAAGTCCTGGATTCTGTCTTGGATACACAGAATATAACTGGATATAACATTTATAGGTAAAGTTGATCCAGGGAATATCCGATTGCCTCTTGGGGGATCAGGAAGGAGTTTTTTCCCTGTAGGAGCAAATTGGATCATGCTTTGCTGGGTTTTTTTGCATTCCCCTTGATCAACTGTGGGTGTAGGATTATAACTTTTTTTTGTTGGATGGTTGAACTGGATGGACTTTTGTCTTTTTTTCAGCCAGACTAACTATGTAACTATGTAACAAGAGGAGGGCAGAGAAGACAGGATCAAACAGCATTTTTACACAATGCAGAGGATTAACCCCTTAGGTTCCATGGTGAGTATAACAAGCATGCTTTACTGCATATACAGACTGATTTTACTGTTGTGGGTTTAGTAACACTTTAAGTCATCATTACAGTAACTTAGCAAAGATGTCTACATGTATTGAAGAGTGTGAATTCTGTTAATTATATCCTGAACACATGCTTGGCGAGTTTGCCATGCTGCAAAATGCTGACACTTTAGAGCTGAAATTTAATCTGCTTGCATTTTGTCTTCCCTGATTTCTACCTCCTCCACCTATAAACATGCTAATTAAATGTTTAAATAAAACCTTTCTATTTTTAATAAATACCTCATTTAAGATCTATTGATGTCATTGCAGGGTCTCTGTGCTTTTCTATGTAATACAGCACATCATGGCTGGAAGAGTGTTTTACATAGTTCCCTGAAAACATAACAGCACCATGCCTCGGTACTCCTTTGAAGAGCCCAAGACCCTAATGCAAACAGGAGGTGGCTCTCTTGAACTTGGATGGATGTAGGGTAACCATGGGATACTCCAGCAACGTTAAGTAGTAATTTGAGGGCACCTATCTTAGTAATTGCAGCAGCAAATAAAGAATAAGGCCTGGAGCTAGATGTGCAGCATAGGCGGAGGGCCTGACATGACTAGGTTAGCAGGATAGGAGGAGCATCGTAGGGTTAACAGAGGAGTTTTGGTTTGAAGTGGGAAAGTGGTAGCTGATTGAAGGGGGCTCTGGTGGGGCTTTAAAGGGGCCAGGTGGCTTGGAGAGTTAGTAGAGGGGTGCCAAAGTGGTCGGAGTCAGTCGGAGCTGGGACAGCGTAGGACAAGTTTCTCCCGCCCTCCCTCACGAACGCTTGTTTGACAGCTCCGTGTTCATGGGGCTCACCTTTATTGGTCCTTCCTGACCTTTCAGTGGTTCTGGGGTAGTTTACTGGATGGGCGTGTTCCTGTGTTTTGTGAGGGTTTGCTTGTTTTCTGGGTTTCTTTTGTCATGGAAATTGACATGGGTCTCAGGGTCTTGGAAGGCAGTGACAGTTTTATTATTTTGGAGAATGGTAAGTTGGGCCCATCACAGGTATGGGTGTACCTACCCTAGCAAATTTACTACAGTAATGGTGCAGGAGTAAGTTGGCTGTATCAAGGGCAATTTTAGGAAATTGTCCCTGAGTCGGTGTATTTGCAGCTGGGGGCCCTGAAGTCTATGTTGATGGTAGATACAGCCGGTTGGTTGATATATAAGTCGCCTTCCTAGACCCTAGACTTTAATGAGGTAATCCGAAGTAACAGTAAGGTAATTAATGATTAGGTGAGTTATTACGAAAAATTTGTATTTTTGGAAAATGTTGTAAACTTGTTTAATAAAATGGCTGCTATGGCCTTTAAACTCCAATGCGGGTCAGTGTCGTTTTTGATTTGGGGAGGTCACAAGTTTAGGTGGGGACTTCAAAGGTTTAGGAGCAGCCGTAATATCTGCAATACCTTAGTCACGGGCTGAACTACACAAGGACACTACGAACAATGTCCACTTTTAAGCAATGGTTAACTCTGATGCAAGAGGGACAGCAGCAGCACACAGTCACTGGGATCTCACACAACGTTCTCTACTGACTAACGTCCTTGGATAATTGGATGCCTCCTTCCATTATTTTTCAGACACGTCTCTCATGAATAGTGCAGACCAGATTCCAAAATAAAAAAAAGTCCCTCAGTCAGCTCCAGGAAAGTTTTGCAAAATAGGCCCCCAGCTAGCCAACTGGGACCTGTATGAGCAGTAGAAAGGCACAGTTGGTTAGCACAGAGGGGCAGCAATCCTCCAAGTTGGGATCTTCTCCTCCTGCACAAGAAGCCCTCTATTACAGCTGGGCACTCTCCCCCCAGGGATTGGCTAGGATCAGGGGTGGACTGACAACTCATGGGGCCCCCGGGCAATAGGGGATCATGGGGCCCCTGTGTCCTTGCCCACACTCAAAGCACACCCAAAAAAGCCTATAAAAAGGTACCAGGGGCATTTCATGGGGCCCCCTACTGACCCTGGGCCCTCGGGCAGTGCCCGAGTGCTCAAATGGTCAGTCCACCTCTGGCTAGGACTGCATAAATATTCAGCTGCTGATTTGACTCTCCTAGCCCACTACTTTCCAGAACTATCCAGAAATCGGGGGAGCAGTCAATTTCCAAGCAGCTCCACTGATTACAGGAGAACCAGAACATTACCTAACCTAGCACCTAACTAGGAGGGTTCTACATCAAAATACCTTGATAGGTGGATGTTCTCAACTGATGCTGAGTCTCCATGATTGAGAGAACTGAAATCCAATGAATGAAAGAGCAGGACCAGAGAAAGACAAACTGAGGAAGAAAGAGCTAGATTGTGCTGGATTTCCTCTACCCAGTAAATGTGGTGGGTTGTATTTGACTTGATGCTTCTTCTATTGCACACTGTGAGACATGCACAGTGTGCTGTGAATCCAGAGTAAGCTATTTCAGTACAGAAGAGGAGCCTATACTAATATGTAAGACTGAAGGTAATGCTGAAGTTATGTTTTACAGTATAGGTATAGCCATAGCTATTTGTCAAGTTTTTTTTTTTAATCAAAATGTATGTCCCCACTAAGTAGATTTGTCTCATTGATCTATTTTGTTGACCTTTGTTAGAGAGAAAGAAGCTGATGGGAAAACATTTTACAGTTGTCACCAGAACAGGAGGTGAGGGGAAATCTTCCAATGGTAAAGCTGTTCAATTGACAAGTGTGGGTTATTTCCTTCACTTTGTAGAGGTTTCCACTCACTTACTGTGGGGTCTCCTTGGCAGGAATTGAAGGAACATGTAGACAGAAAAAAAATCAGCTGGCCAGGGGATTAGCACATCTGTATTCTATTCAAAATCATGAAGTTATATACATTTACAATTTTTTTATTAAATAAGGACTTATTGGTCTACATCAGTGGTCTCCAAACTGTGGCCCGGGGGCCAGATGTGGCCCTTTGCTTGCCTTTATCCAGCCCTTGAGGCACCCTTCCATCCACTGACTCCAGTAGGGCATTATTCTTCCCACTGATAAAAATGATGGGGCACTATTCTCCCACCGACAACAATGTTGGGGCACTATTCCTTCCGCCGATACCAGCAATGGAGCACTATTCCTCCCACTGATACCAGTGATGGAGCACGATTCCTCCCACTGACACCAACAATGGGGCGCTATGCCTCCCACTGCTACTAATAAAGGGGCAAAAATTCTTCCATTGACATCAACGGTGGGGAAAAATTCTTCCCACTGACACAAACAATGGGGCAACAATCCTCCCACTGATACAAACGATGGGGCACTGTTCCTTCCAATGATACCAATGATGGGGCACTATGAAAAATGAAGCATTTCCTACATCCTACTCCCACTAGCCACAATCTAGCCCTCCTAATGTCTGAAGGACAGTAAACTGGCCCTTCGTTTAGCAAGTTTGGAAACCCCTGGTCTACATCCATACCCAAGAACAAAGAGACTTGACATTATGCATAATAGTTCTTGATGGATGAACCTATCCTTCCCAGATACTCCTTGAAGGCCCACCTCCTTACTTGCCTCCCTTTCAATACTTTGTGTTAAAAGTAAAATTGTGGGTGGTGGAACAAATTCCATAAGACAGGACAAGGTGAGGATCAGAATGGCAACAATGATTAACAAGATAAGAAGCAACATGTGAAGAAACATGGCACTGAAGGTCTCATAGAATGAGAATAGGCTTGGGAAAAGACATGGACTAACTGCTCTAAGATATTGTTGCATTGGCATTAATCTGAGTATCCAATTGGCCTTTTATTTCATTTTGTTCTGAAATCCGCTGTGCCTGTTGCGAAGAAACCATCTGAGGAGTGCATTTCCTCCAAGTCCACTCCTGTGGTTGTCATTAGGGAAGAGCACAATTTACATTTTTAATTTGCCTGAAATGTCGGTTCAACCCAGGAGATCTCAGCAAAATCTAACCATTGTGGTATTAGCCGATACCGATTACGGATACCATTCGGTACGATTTGAGCCTATACAAAATGAATGAGCTGAAATCGCACTGCAAAGAATCACATGTGATTTGAACCGGAATGCGGTGCAATTCCTGACTGAACCACATGCGATATTCCTGCAGGTGTGATGCAATTTGCAACGTGATTTGAGCCATACAAAATGAATGGGTCAAATCACACAGCAAATCGCACCATACCCGTAGGGAAACCGTATTATGTGATTCAAACAGGAATCACACCACATTCCTGTTCAAATCACATGCAATTCTTTGCAGTGAGATTTGAGCCAATTAATTTTGTATGGGCTCAAATCACACCACAAAGGTGTTGGTTTCAGGTATGGGAGCATTTGCACAAGTATGAGTACTCATGTAAAGGCTTAGTATCGGCACTGATACCAGTATCGCTATGGTGCAAGCCACTTTTAACCCTTCCTTGCTTTGTTCAACTAAAAAATTGTCAAAAACTTTGCTCAATGAATCAAGTGAATGATATTGATCATTCAATCAATCGACATATTATAGTGCCTTCAGCCTTTCGGCATAAAATAAAATTAAAAGATATAACTACACTGACTTAGTTATTATTCCTGAATTTGTTAGTCTATGTAGATATTTTTAAGCAGAATAAAACTGTATGAAATTTTGAACTACAGAAAAAGACAAATACATAAATATTTATTTAACATGTCAGTAAGGCCTCTTTCACACTGGTGGTCCGATCGGGTACGCCTGTCTGTTTTTCAGGGAGACGCAATCTGACCATCCATAGACCTCTATGGACCTGCTAGTGTCAGCGGACAAGTTTCTTCTGACAGTGACACCCGCCAGCATCCGATTCTGTAAGGCAAAAACATCCGTCTGGTGGATCGGATCGTATGGCAGTAGGATGGAAATGGACATGCAGTCCATTTCCATCCGACCGCCCCATAGAAGACAGCGGGGAGTGTTTGAGTCCGCTCTGCAGCAGCGAAGCGGACACAGACCTGTCATCCGCCTGCTAAGCAGGAATTAGCGAAGAGATCCCCCACTGAGCAGGCAGGTCAGCTGACGGGTCCACCCCGTCTGAC